CACACACACACACACACACACACACACACCACCACCACCACCACCCCTACCCCCACCCCCAACAACAACACGGGATGACGACACAGACACTGGTCTCTCAAGGACTTAGTTCTTTTCCCTTTCTTTCTTCTTTAGCAACCCGACATCTGCACTCTCTGTAGAGATTTTCATGGCCAATCTCATAGAAGGAGGTAAAAAGAGAAGGTAAAAAGCTATCTTGAGTTCAGTGTTGGGGAACTGTTAACTTGTCTAACCCTAAACTACATTCCCCAAAAGCGCCTTTCTCTGAGGTCAACTGCTGCTTTGCTTAAATTCCATCAAAGCCCACACTCAACACCACCATGGGCATGAACACCCTTACTATATATTCAGACACCAATCTTGCCCTTGAGAATTTACGCTGGTATACAAAGTTAATTTTTAATATTCTTCCATTTGTCCTGTATACTTTCCTTTGTCCCTATTTAAAAAAAAAAAAGAAAAGAACAGAAAAAATGATTAATTAGCCACCAAATATCTTGAGGATTAAAGGTCATGCTAAGATACACTTCATGTTCCTACCCTCAATACTCCTACCAACATTTATCCTTATTCTTCATGACAAACTCCTAGTCATTATCTTTCAAATCGTCAGATAAAGGCGATGTGAAATAGGCAGGAAATGTTAAAACACTTTCAAAACTAACGTCTCTGAGAAAAAAGCCATCACAGCCATGTCATGCTGCCTCCTGGCTTTCCTGATGAGACTTCCAGGAAGAAGGAGACATGTTAGCAATTCCCTGCTTGCATGTAACAACAGGAACAAGGGTTCGGTGCAGGGATTACCTGGCCCAGTCATTCTCTCAGCTATAAAGAAATGCCCCTGCCCTCCAGCAAGAGAAGAAAACTATACAGAGGGATAAGGAAACTGAAGTAACATGTTGCTCCTTGGCATAACAGAGGGAACTTAAACTAAGCACCGAATCTTCAGCAAAAAGGCACAAAACCCCACAACTTCTCAGGGTGTGCGACCCAGAGCTCCATCACAACCGCCATGCTCTGACGCAACATCCCATCGCCATATTGCAACACCTGATTTATAGCTCTGAGTGTCGAGTTCAGTCAGTTAATCTCTTCCTTTCTCTTCTTCCCCAGATCCTTCTGAGGAAATATTATGGAACACGTGTCTTCCTTCTTCCTGGCTGTTACAGAGGAGGGGCGTGGCAGAAGAACCACAACTTCTCAGTTGTTTGGAAAGCTGTGGTTTTTCTTTGCCCTAACAAAATTTATTATAATTAACATGTTGTGGGCCCCTTTATCAGATGATGTAACTACAGAAAATTAACTATGGGTTGAAGACTCAGTTTCTTAACATCAAAGCTGATGCCTAATGCCTCTTTGAGAACTGCTAACATACCAAAGCAGAGGGATTTTTTGGTTGCAAAAAGAAACAAAGGCGAGAGACAATGCTGTAAGACTGAAGCTGCTCCCTACCTATATATTGCATTAACACTGGGTTAAGATGAGGAAGGCCTACGTGGGGACTGTAAGTGGGCACCTGGACAGGGAATTTCGGGTACTGAGTATGATTTCCAAAGGGCTGCATAGCACAAATTCACTGGAAGGCTTTATCATGCCCAGACAGGTGGCCCTGGTCTTCTGTTGTAAACACAGTATTTGTGTACCAGACTCTTAGGAGCTAACTATATTTAACAGACCATCACTCTTCCCAAGAAAATGATCTTCAGTGTTTGTTAGAAACAGAGACCCCACCCCATCCCACCAGCCCCCATCTAAGGAGCCGAAATTCTGGAATCTGGGTTTTCCTTGTAAATGTCTCAGGAGAGCCTGATCTATTCAGAGTGTGAGAATGGCTGCTGAGTTCTGGAGGTGTGGTTGAGAGACAGGATACTTGTCTACCATACACGAAGCCTTGGGCTTACTTGAGTGGCAGGAGAATGAAGGAAAATGAACAACACTGAGCAGACCCTCTATTCAAACCAAACGGGGCTGAGCCAATGAGAAGCTGAAAGTCAATGTCAGTATTTACATTCTTCCAAACAACAAGAACCTGCCTTGTCTTGACTGACACCTCAGTGGACGCCATCTCCAAGTGCACAGGCAGGTTGTTGTGAGTCAATGCATACCTGGAGGTGGGTGGCACCAGGAGTATTCTACTTAAACCAGTTGTTTCCTGTAGCTGTCTCTTGTTGGGACACAGGCAGGGCTTGGGAGTGAATGTCAAAGTGAAGACCCCCAATGTACATCTTAAGTTAAACACTGCTGCTCAGGCCATGTGTTCCCTCTGTGTCTCTGGTCTTACCTGACGGTCTTTTGGGCCAATCAGGGAATAAAAACAATTGATGAAAACTTGCTCAGGTGGTCTTGAACTCATGACCTTCCTGCCTTTGCCAACCAAGTGCTGAGAGTCACAGGCTGAAACATGATATCTGGCTCTATGTGTCTTGAAAAGCACACACAGTTTAAGCAAACTATTTAGAGGCTCACTGTCTATTAATTCTTGGAAAAATACAACACACATATACCAAGCAACAAAAATACCTTAATAGTGAAATTCCCAGGTGAAACAAGACATAAGTTTTACAGTCCCTCATCTGCTTTACAGTACTTTTGAAATTCACTAAGAAGTAGGGGAGGGAGAGGGAGTGGAGAGAGCATGAGGGAATGCAAACAGAGGCACCATGACTCAAATTCTAAGAAAAGGAACCCTTCCTGAAGAGTCAAGACCCCAGATTATCCTACAAAGGTGGTCATGGTGAATGTGCCTGACTCAACTACTGGTTCTGTCACTTCTCAGTCTTTTTGTTTTTAATTGAAAGAAAATTTTTTTCATACAATATTTTCTTTACTTGTGTTATGTTTTTGAGGTAGGGTTTCTTGTGTAACAGTCCTGGCTGTTAGTATTCAGGCATCTGTACTGTCTGTCCTTGGGGTTCTGACAGAATACCCCCTCAGCTGCAGCCACTAAGAGCCTGTCCCTGGAAGCCATCCCCCCCTTCCTTTCCCCTTTGTATGGTCTCTTTCCCTAATGAAAAAACCCTCTGCTTGAACCCTGTCGCATGGCATCTTTCTCTCTTAAATCACAAAACTGGCTGTCAGGGAACTCGCTCCATAGACCAGGCTGGCCTTCAACTCATAGAGGTCCACCTGCCTCTCCCTAAGATGTGCATCACCACCGCCTGGCTCTCATACAATATTTTCTGATCATGGTTTCCCCTCCCCCAACTTCTCCCAGATGCTCTCCACCCACCCAGTTCTACTCCTTCTTTAAAGAAACAAGTTAAAAAAAAAAAAAAAGCAAGCAAACCAGATTTAAAAAAATAGAAAGCTTAAGAAACACACACATACACAAACCTATAAAAACGCAAAATCAGAAACCATAACAAACAAACAATGGACCACTAGACAAAAAAAAAAAAAAAAAAAAAAACAAAAAAAAAAAAAAAAAAAAAAAAAAAAAAGCCCAGACAAAGCAAATGTGGCAAAGTCTACACAACACCACTGAGTTCATTTTGTGTTGGCCACCTACTGCTGGGCATGTACACTTTAGTGTGGTTAATACATGCAGTGAGAATCCTTTGGAGGAAGGATTATCCTTTGCAAGCTGATGCCAACTGCAGGCTGCTTCTTAGTTGGGGTGGGAGCTTATGTCCACGTCTCCCTCAATGAGATCCTGTCTGGCTTGAACCTGTGCTTATTCCTCAGTCTTAAAACTGGAACAGCCAAATATTCCTAGAGATGTAAAGTTGGCATCTAGAGAAGGAGAACGAAAGCAACAGAGGCCAGACACTGTGGAAAAGAAAGCTGCACACCTACAGATGTGCACACTCCCTTGTGAGGATATGACCTA